TTAAGATTTAAAAAAGTTAAGGAACGAAATAAAATATTATTTAACTAAATAATTAGATAAATTTCACAAAATTATTTTATAGCATAATATTGTGAAAAATAATACCTAAAAGATTTTGCTTAGGAATCAAAAACTTCAAGATCGACTGTTTCAAAGAATTCTTTTAAACATTTATTTGACTCTTGTAAATGTTTAGTAAGATTTGATTCAACAGATTTTCTACCGTGTTTTACCCGTATGCATTTAGCAATGTGGCTAATATCTCTTCCAGTGAATTGTCTGTAAATTTTCAGATTTTTTATATCATTATGTGTCCACACAGGATTAACACGATGGATACTACCTACATTCAATTTATTTAATAGTTATAATTATTGATTATTTTTAAATTAGCACACAGATACAAGATATACCTAATTTCAGTTTAAAGGCCATACCTTTAGAAATAATCAATGGTGTTCCACATGTTGCTAAGGTAATCTTATTTTGTGAGGCAAATTTCTCTTAAACAACTTTTGCTACAAATTTTTCATTAACGTTCTTCATTACAGTGGTTTTTGAAGTTAGTATACATAAATTTAATATTTGCGTCTGGGTTGTACATTTGCGTCCTCTTAAATTAGAAATTTCAACAAAACATTGGTTGCAAATCTTCAAAGCAGATTTTTGAGATGCAGGTGGTTTTAATGTGGATTAATAATTGGTTTTTATTTTATTATAAAATCTAATTATTTTTAATTAGAAAAAAAATATACATATATACTTGAATAAAACTTGCCCTGGTCTTCCTATATGTGATTTTATGTTGGCTCCTTTTCTTTTAGCAACTAAACATATAATACACAAGAAAAGCCGTTTTCTCCTAGTAACAGTCTCCACGACCACACCTGTTAGAATTTGAAACCATCTAGTTAGTGGGACAGTATAAGGACAAGCATGCTGATGAAGAACTGTTTTAAATGTTGAGCGAATTCCAGATGAAAATATTGGATCATTGATGTTGTATTCAGAAGATAAAAATGTTTTTATAAAATGAATTATTAGAGGACTAAGTAAGGTTACCGCTTTTCTGTAGCATATTGCGCATACTTTTTGTCTTGCTTTAGAATGACATGGAGAATAGTTTGGCATTTTATTTGAGCAGGTGTTTAAGTTCTTTTGATTTTATATTATTTATGAAATATCTTGCTATATTAGCTATCATACAGAGAAATTTTAAATAAATAAATTAGATAAAATACAGTGTTTTCAATAAATGATTTGAAATGAACAGATAATAAAGTTATAAACATCTAAAGTTTTTCAATATACGTAAATATAGCATTTAAAAATTACTCTAAAAAAGGTTGTTTTTTTTTTTGTAAAATGCCATATTTCATCAGGACGGAATGTTACAATTTTTTGGAATATATATTTGGAGTCGCCGGACATAAAGCTAACAATATATGTAAACAGTTTTTCTGTACAATTTTTTTCAACCTAAAGTTCATTCAGCAACACTGTGCAAAGATAGAATCAAAACACTAAGACTTACCACCCTGACTGAGAAAAGGATCAGAAGTGATATGATACAACATTTTAAAATAATACGTCGGATTGATCTAATTAATTGATATCACCCACTAAAGTCACTTTCTTCCTTTCTTTTCCATCTTTTGCAATAGACCTACTGGTGGTACTCGTGGTCATGCTATGCTAATAAAGTGTAAGCTTGTAAGCATTACAAAATTATATATATATATATATATATATGTATATATATATATATATAAATATATATATATATATATATATATATATATATATATATATATATATATATATATATATATATACATATATATATATATATATATATATATATATATATATATATATATATATATATATATATATATATATATATATATATATATATATATATATATATATATATATATATATATATATATATATTTATATGGATGTATGTATGTTGGCAGATTTTCATAACTTAGCCTTTCCTTTTGAAGAATATAAGTGAATAGTTGATTTAAAAAAAAAATCTTTAAAATAAAAACCGCGTTATTTTCAACACATCCAATCATTTCATCTTAGAAAACCAGTTTCGTAAGATGAGCTTTTAATAATGGAACTCAAAATAGGAAAAAAATACTCACAAAAAAAATTAAAGAAAATCTTTTCTTTAAAGACTATACTAAAGTAAAAAGTAATTATCTCAACCATAATATCGTCGTAGGTATAGTTTCTATTAATTGATCAATATAAACAATACGGGTGTTGTAGCATATGCTAATGACATTATACTCCTTGGCTCCACCCTCTCTGGCCTACAAATGCTTATTAATATATGTAATATGTACACACACAAAAACTGCATAAAATTGAATGCTGACAAAACCGTCCCTGCTCACCGGAAAAAAGCAAATTAAAAACTGCACAATAACTCTCAACCACCAAAAAATAAAACTTCATGATAAACTTAGTCATCTAGGCTTTACATGGGATACAAATAGTTCACCTTTTGCCTCATTTAATAAATTAAACACTGATCACCAAATATCTAATTTCCGGACGGTAATCCAAACCTTAGTTTAATCAAGAATTCGTTTTGCTTACCCATACTCCATTGTCCAGTTATATAAAACTTAAGCTGTTCCAACATTAAAGAATCGTCTTAAGCTGTGTGAACATAAAAAAATGTTAATGCAAAAGCTTGATATAGTTGGACGAAACGCACTTAAGTCACTCCTCAACGTTTCAAAACATAGCAAAAATTATATTTATACCTTATTTTTTATTGAAGATATATCAATTATTATACAACAAAACAAGCTAAACTTATTTATTCGCCTGATGAACAATAAAATGACATATGATATTATTAAATCGCAGTTGAAAAACAAAATAGTTCCACAACCTTTTTTAGATAGTATCAAAGGCTCGTGCAATAATCATGAACTAAATTTGAAAACAATAATGCAAAGTAAAAAAAAAAAAAAAATTATCAGCCTCAAAAATGTAATTCCTGATAAGAATCTTCAAACTTTAAAATATACAGTTGAGTGCGGTTGTATAGTGGGTGTTTAATAAATTTAAATAATAAATAATAAACCGTAATAAAAAAGCAATAAATCTTTCTTATCTCTAAAAAAGTTTGCGATACTTTTTTTTGAAAAAACTTTCGCTCTTGAAATATCAAAATAAAGCTCCTCGGAGAATAACTTTAAAAAAACGCGTTTTCCTTAATAAAAAGCAGCATCTCATCTTAAGCAACTTCACTAAGTATTATCATAGTTTAAATAGCATAACAACAGCTTATGTATTATCTTGTATAACCCATGGAATTAGCAGTAGAAAAGCATATAACATTGAGGATGTAATAAATTTTTGATGATTTTGTTTGGTTCTGACGTAATTCTGACGTAATACAAATATTGAATTATAAAAAATTATAACGAGGATAATAAACTATTTTTAACAATAAAACAATGAAAGAACATTAGTTATACAACCAAATAATTAAATAAATAACATCGTCGAACTTGAATGAACATATTTAATTAAAAAAATTCGCAAAAAAATCAGTAACCTACCCGTAAAAGTGGTTATACCATCTTATTTTTATTGCCATATGATGAATATTTTCCACTTGGTGATTTGTAAAACGTGTATGTACATACATAACATCAAATGTGCATATTTTAAATATTTGTATGAACACAAGTAAACACATAGAAATATACAAATAAAACACATACATACATATTACATACATACACATATACATATATACATAAATACATACATGCACTCACATGGATACACACACATACATACACTCTTACATACATACATGCACACATACATACATACATACATACATACATACATACATACATACATACATACATACATACATACATACATACATACATACATACATACATACATACATACATACATACATACATACATACATACATACATACATACATACATACATACATACATACATACATACATACATGCATACATACATACAAACAGGTGCATACACATATACATATATACACATACACATAAATATACACACTCATACACAATATATTTTACAAAGTATTTTTCATTAAATTATATATAACATTATTCAAGAAAAAAAATACAGAACTAAAACATAAAAACACAGTATATGTTTACGATACATTATAACTTTAACAATAAAGTATTTTACTGGAAAAAACAAAATAAGAAAACTTAAAATCAAAATTAAAAAAAAAAACATAGAAATTTCATCAATTGAAAGTATAATATTTTTTAGTTTTTGTTTAAAGCAGGGATAACATTTCTTAAAAATATCAATTTTTTTTTTGAAATTATCTTATTCCATAGAAAAACTTCACGAAACGAGAAGTTTTTCTATGCAAAACTTTCCATTATATTGTTACTAGCGGTTTGAATTTTTTTACAAATAAGCTTATGAACAAAACTACTCTAGAATTTCAAAATCTTACACAAAACTGTTGTAGAATTTCACAATGCGGACAAAAATGGATTTCGTTTTTTTCAAATGAAATTCCATAGCATAACTTAAAAGTTGCAAAAAAGTACTTTTTAAACCCAAATTACCCTAACAGACCCTAATAATAATTTCTATAAAGTAACGTTTTTTTTTATTTATTAAAACTTTAATTTATTTTTATTAAATACTATTAATGTTGCAGAAGATTTCATGATATTGTAAAGTCTTCATAAGAAAATAAAAAACAGCATCACACTAGTAATTAATATGACAATATTTTTGACAAATATTTTTTTCACAGAATGCCTTGCGATTAAAAAAAATATATAGTCATAATTTTTCATCACGATCAGCCATAACTAAGATACATTGTTATTTAACAATACCGTAACGAAGATACATTGTTGCTAAACAATGTATTGTAATTAAACCTAATCGCAATATTTAAAGTTCAATTTATATTTTTAATGTAAAATAAGAAAATTTTATTGCGCAAGAAAAGTATATCAAACACGATTGTTAAGAAAGGAAGTCGTTTAATAGTTACTATGAGTCTAACTTGTTGCTAACTGATATACCACTGAGATGAAACCATTTGTACAAAATTTTACTAAAAAACAAAATGATTGTTGAAGTTATTAGTAATTTGTATGGTCGTTGAAGTTATAAAGGTAAGAAAACAATAAATTGTCATGAAAATTTGTTTCGTCAACTAAAGGAAAAATAGAATAAACAAGTAGTATATTGCTAAAGATAACAAATCGACAAAGTATCAATTGACGTATCAACAGATAAAATTTTAAAATTGTTGGGGCGGAATTTGCATTTTTTGGTGTTGGAGCTAACTTATTTATTATTTATTTTTTTTATTTTGTTTATTTATTTTTTGTCAAGCAACCATTTACAATTAAAGGTAATTTCCGATAAAATATTTAAAAATATTAAATACAAATACATTTCATTATTTATAATAGTTACGAGACCAGAGAACCTGAAGAAGATAAAATCTTATCATCAGTATCCTTTGATAATAAAAATTGGAAATAAAACTGTATTGTTAGAAAAAATCATGTAAAGAATCTTGATTGGCAATAAGTTCGATTATGTTCTTTTTAAATTTTTGAGAGGTATTGGCTTCTTTAAGTTTACCACTTAGGCTTGTAAAAAGGTTCCATAGCATTGGGGCACGATAGGAAATGGCAAAGCTCATAAGTTTTGATGTACGGAATGGTTTTTTAAATCTTCCGGTAGATCGCGTGTTGTATCGGTTTAATGTTTTATGGAAAATATTTTCGAAAACCTTCGGCATTTATTTTGACTGATGTTGAAACATAAACTGTGTAATTTTGAAAATATTTAATTCAAAAATATCAAGTGCCCTCATGCTTTTTAGAAGAGGTTTAGCATTTGTGAAGCGATTTTGAAAATGAATAATGCGTGTTGCATGATTCTATTGTTTAAGGAGACAGTCGAGTTTAGATTTATTTGTACTACCCCAAACAATATTGCCATAAGATAAATAACTATTTATGAATACAAAATATAGTTGAGTTAGTGTAGATTTGTCTAAGATTTGTCTGGTTTTATATAAGATGCCAATACTTTTTGAGATTTTATTGCTAATATGTTTAATATGATCTCTCCAGGATAAGTTTTCGTCTATTAAAATACCAAGTAATTTACTTGTAAATGAGCGCTAAATTTTGATATTATTTATATATAGCATTGGTAAGGATTTTGGAATAGATTGAAACTTTCGTTTAGAATGGAATAAGGAAAACTTAGTTTTATCAGTGTTTAAAGATAGGCTGTTAGCGATAAGTCAGTTTGATATTTGTTCTAGTTCATTATTTTCTACTTGAAATAAAGAGATGATATTACTGTAAGAATAGAATAAAGTGGTGTCGTCTGCAAACAAAATAGTAGACACCGTACTTGATGCTTTATATAGATCGTTGATATAGATTTAGAACAGTAACAGACCTAAGATGGAGCTTTGTGGAACCCCACATGATATTTTAAGTTTTTTTTGTCTAAAAGCCATCATTTAGAGAAATAAACTGCTTTCGATCAGTTAAGTAACTGGTAAACCATATATGTTATTCGTGGCTTGTTCCATAATATTTTAGTTTTTTTAAGAAAATCTGATGGTTAACGGTCTCAAATGCTTTTGACAAGTCTAGAAATATACCTAAGGTGAACTTGTTATGAGAAGATGCTCCACTGATAACTTCAACAAGTTGCATAAGTGCATGTTCCGTAGAGTAATTTGATCGAAAACCATTATGGTTATAATAAAGAAGATTGTTATCATACAAAAACGCAAATATCCTATTATACATGATACGTTCAAGGATTTTTGAAAATACAAGTAATACCTATATAGGTCGATAATTTGTAACCAGACTTTCATCTACTGATTTAAAAATGGGTGTAATAATTGCAACTTTCATTTTATCTGGAAAAACACCTGTTTTAAGCGATTTGTTAAAAATATCTAATAAAACATCTTTAATAATTTCATTGCAGTCTTTAATTATGCTTGCTGAAATAGAATCATAGCCTGTTGCTTTATTTTTATTTAATTTTTTTTATTGAATCATCAAGTACTTTACTAGTGAGTTTTTTAAATGCTAGGCTTTTATCCTAACATTTATATATTTATATAAAAATGCTTTTCACAAAATAGCGATGATTGGGAACTTCTTCTTGAGAACGAAAACGCCCCAAAATTTTTTTCCCCTTGCCCAAAACGTGAAAGCAACAAAATATTAATCTATATACCTAGACTTGATATTAAAAGTGCTATTGGGGCATTGCCCCAAAATGGTGATTTAGCAATTGCCCAAAACGTGAAAGCAACAAAATAAAATATTTTTTCTTACTATTCTCAACTAAATTCATATTCATCGATAAGTTTTAAATATTATTGAATAAGTTTTTAGCGTTTAAAAAATATATAAAATTTGAAGCCCACTCAAATTAAGGGAGGTTTAAGCTTTATATGGTCTTAATTGTTGTACGCTAATAGATTATAGTATGAAATTAATTTTATAAAACAATATCTAAGCGTTCAAAAAATATATAAAGTTTGAACTCCTTAGTTTATAGAATAATATTAATTTCGTTGAGAATAATAAAAAAATATTATATTGAATTATTGCTCACTCTTCTGAGGGGGATGGTCTAAAAATTTAAGGCTTGTTTGTCCTTAAACACCAAAAAAATACTAATTCCGTACCTGGAACAAATAAATCTAAAAGAAGTAAAACAAATCAGAATACTTGAGTTTGTATACATAAACAACCAAGTTTGTTTATGTTAGTTTGCAATATTTAGTTTATTTATATTATTTAGTTTTGTTCATCTATAGAAAAAGAAATTTGTTATAACATATCTTATGACAATAAAAACGAAATCCCGCTATTTTTAAAAACAAATTATTTGTCATGGTTCGTATATTATTTGGTCAATTTTTTTGCATTATAAGACAATTAGCTTTAGAGCATTTACGCAATTTTTATAGCGTTTGTTATCTTTTTTTTAATTTTAATTGCATTGGAATCCTTCAGTCATTTCATTTTCAAAAAGGTTTTAACGACCTCTCTAACTTATTTAGTTCCAAAGATGTTTTAACATTTTCAATATTTCGACTTTTTATGAAACATTTTTTTTAAGTATCTCGCTCACCAAAAATTATATAAAACTTTTATAACTTTTTTGTTTTTGTTGCGTTGACAAATTTATAAAACTTTATTGAAATGAAATCGTAAATTGAAATTATTTGAACAATTTATAAATATAATTTTGTTCGGGGTTAACGAACGCTAAAAGTTTAAAATTTTTAATATTTTAAGCATAACAAAACTTTGAGGAAAAATAATAATTTAAATTAACCTTTATTTAAACTTTCAGTAATAGTAATATAGTAGTAATAAAGTGAAAAATGTGGTAAAAATAGTAATAAAGTGAAAAATGTGGATCCAAATAAAACTGGCCGAAAACGTCGAAGTACGCGAAAAACAAATATAAATTTTAAACTTATCTTTACACAAATAAAAATATTTTTTATCCAACAATTTCCTAATAATTTAAATAATATCTATGTTATAATATAATATAGATATAATAATACAACATAAATACAACAGAAATAATTTTAAAACATAAATACAACATAGATATAGATATAATATTACAACATAAATACAACATAGATATAATATTACGATATAGATATAGATATAATATTACAACATAGGTTACAATATATATAATAGGTTTCAAAAGAAATTTAATTGCTCAGAGTAGACAATTATATTCGGTACCTAAGATTATATTCCGTACCTAAGATTATATTCCGTACCTAAGATAATATTCCGTACTTAAGATAATATTCCGTACCTAAGATAATATTCCGTACCTAAGATAATATTCCGTACCTAAGATAATATTCCGTACCTAAGATAATATTCAAATGAATGAAAAACTCGTTGAAAGGTTTTATTTAATTGTGTTTTAAATTAAGACGGAATACTTTTACTAATGTTTTTTTTTTTTTAATTTGCAAAAGATTTATCGCCTTTGTCTTTAAAAATATTACCGTATTTATCAACGTACAAAAATTTGTTGAAATGCGTTGCAAACCCAGAGTGTAACAACCCAGAATGCGATACTTTTAAAATGAGTAACCTGTTGTTAAAAAATAGTTAGAGGATAGCGTAGAGAATGTTTCTTAAACTTTTTAATAAAGTATAAGAAACTGTCATGTTGCCTAATGCTCTAAAGTTAGCCCTCCAATTCTGGACTATTTCCTTTTTTTGATAAGCAGTTCATGTTAAAGTAAATGTAGTTTTGCTTAAGGTTAGCTCTCCATTTCTGGATTCTTTCCGTTACTTGATAGGCAGTTCATATTTAAGTAAATAAAAAATTTTACCAAAGTTTTTTTTTGTTATTTTAATTTTTAATTTTATTTTAATATTTGTAATCAACGGTGAAACATAAGTAAAATACGAAGCTTTGAATCATTACTCAAATTACAAAAAGATTTTTAAATTTGCTTAAATGACAACAACAAGAACTTCACATAATTCCTGCTAAAACAAACCTACCCAAGACGACACGACAAAAATTAAGTTGAGCAAAGTGTACACGTCACCTAAGATGACGCGATAAAAATTAAGTTGAGTAAAGTGTACTTTTTATTTTAATGATTTTTCCATTTATAAACTGATTCGTCTGCTTCTTGCAATGAAATCTATGCTTTTAAATTTAAGTTTATTAAATTATTACAAGCTGCAACTTTTTTTTTGTGTAGTTTAATTTTTTCTATAATTTTCTTCTTCTTGCTTTGCTAGAAGGCGGAGAACTTTATTTTCTTTAAGAGCTACTTTTCTTTCATCATATTTGCGTTCCATCATCGATACTATGGTTTTTGAATAATCAAGTAGTTTTTTTCTCTCTTTTCTGCTTTACCATTAAGCCATTCTAATGTTTGAATTTGAAACCAAATTGTCAAAACCTGGGTAATTTGAACATTGGCATTTGGTTTTGAACGTATCATTAAGTCCAAAATGGTAAAGTCACTTTCTGATGCTTTGTTAAAAGCTGCCTCAACAACAGAATAAATTTGGATTCCAATATTTACCACCAGGTAACTGATCAGCACACT